TATATATATATATGAACCTTTTATTCTCATTTATAAACAATTCTTTGTCTATTCATGCGAAAAATCTCATGAGTCACAATTAAGGTAATAAGGCACGTGCATGCCCTCAAGAGCAAAACCCGAACAGAAAATGGGCCCTTTACATATACTACATATAATCCTGCTTGTTGAGGTGTAATGCTAAATATCTATCGACCATTTTCTTTCATCATAACTTTTAGCCCATGGAATTAATCCATTATTACAATTACTTAATGTTGCATAAACGTTAAAGTTAGAGGTCTTTTGCTTGATTTTAGCCTTAGGTTTGCATGAATGAGAAGTAGCCTAGCCATACTGACATCGTAATGAGCAACAGAGAGCACCTAGCAAATTACCATAATTGGAATGCTGAATCGGCCTTAACACTGTTTTTCGTACAAATGAGCTTACGCGCCTGGATACGGCTTCTATTGGGAAACATCGCAATCTGTATCATCCTTCAGCTCTATGCGTCTTTTTTTCCTTTTCCTTCTAAATATCGTTCCAATAATTGTGAACGGTACAGGTACAGCAATATAAGCTTTGTACCCCATTTCGCCCATGTCGCATGGGTTATTTCATTGAGTTTGCGTGTTCAATGCTCCATAACACTGGAACCGTTTCTATTTTATATATGAAAACTGGAGGTGTCACGATAGGTTATGGGGTAGAGCGCCATGAATTCACGGTTTATGAGCTTATCCCCGTTTTAATGTTGAATTTAGAATCAATTCAAAAGATTGGAGTTTTTTCACATTGCTATTCAAGCAGCACAGGTAATGTCAAGCATTCATAGCACTCCAGCTTTAGCATAACATTGTCTGTATCATCACAATTTTTTTATTGCAGCGTCTTTCAGGGCAGCGAAGTGCAGCTCAGAACTAAATCTCCCTTCTGTGTCCGCTTTGCATTCCTTAAACCTTTGCAGGGTGCACGAACTTTATCCTGAGAACCCTAAATTTCTGTCTCATGTTTTACCTCACTCATAGAAATCTTGTAAAATATCTAGACGCGGAAAACGTCACTATTGCTCTCAATCTTAATATCTGCTTAAATGACGGAACTGAATGTGAAATCCTCAAATATTTATGGCTTCACTATGTCACCTTGCATCTTGTTTATACGCCCCGTCTCGCTCGCTCACTCCGGCAACTACTCTCCCCGGGTACCATCTGTGGTTCTTGATCTGTGTGCCCTCATTTCGCTCAGTCTCGTTGATGTATAAGCCTTAATTTGACTGCCATTAGAAGCATTTCTTCCAGAATTTTTCCGCTGTAAGAAATCTCTGCATTTTCTGTAGATGTCAGAGGACTACTCTTCTATGGAGGAGAACTTCACAGAGTCGTTATTATGCATCCCCTCAGCGGTGAGCTCAAACTAACTTATATTTCACTCTCCTTCTGCATATTAAGATAAACATTTGAAATGAAATAGAGTGTAGACCTAAGTCAGAGGTTTTTAGTTTGTTGATCAACACATGCTGGTGAAATTTATGCGATGGATGGACTATTTTATTTTTGTTTCCACGATACTTTCAACTTTTCTGCAAATATATGTTCTGAAACAGGTTTAGTTTGGAAATGACTTGTCCTTAAAAAGTTCCTAGAAAACTCAGTTATTGTAATTATAGGCAAATCGCCATATCCGTCGAAGTGCAAGCGATCAGTGTCTTCATGTTTTTCTGTTTAGCATGACTATGGGTGATTTCATTCAAACAGGTAGGTGAATGCAAAATTCTCATTGCTTTTCTATGTATTTGAAAAGTTCATGAAGAATTCAGCAACCAACATTATGACCGTTTCAGCTTTCTGCTATCCAATCGAGGCAATGTCGAGAATTCTCAATAATCGTCATGAGTTGCCAATGTTTCTCAATGTTACTGTACATTTCCTTACCTGGGTAACACTCTCGGGTTCAAGTCTGAGTCTGATTCTTCTAAATTTCGACAAATTACTTTATTTCAAATATCCATTAAGGTAACTTTCTTGTCGGTATCTCATTCAT